CACCCAAAACATGCCTTACTATATATAAATGGATATTCGGGGACTTTTTATTTTTATGGATTTTTTCACGATGGTAAGGCTATAGTAAAACATTCACCTCCCATCTGTAAATTTCACACATCAAAGAGGCATGTGACCGAAACAATTCTGATGAAGATTGCAACGGCCCACCCGAAAGGAGGGACCTGAAGTAGCTTTATTTTTTGTCACACCCAGAGTATATATTTGCTGTACTCACCGCCAACAGTTAAAACTGAAGAAACCTCTCAGATGAGCGGCGAAACATCTTCTTGAGAAAATTTTGGAACTCTTCGACCTGGACTGTGACCTGGAGGACTGAGAATCGTCATAGACAATTTTCCTTATTCGCCTTTAAAACAAAAAAAAAAAAACTCAGGTTTCACTTTTAAGAACAAAACTCTTCTTTGGGTGTTCACCTTGATGGCCAGCGAGGTGTCATTCTCATTCTCATTATTTATAACATTTTTCAACAACTGTTATCACATCAATCATTTACACTCTAATGGCCCACCCGACAGGAGGGACCTGAAGTAGCTTTATTTTTTTGTCACACCCAGAGTATATATTTGCTGTACTCACCTCCGACAGTTAAAACTGAAGAAACCTCTCGGATGAGAGGAGAACCGTCTTCTTGAGAAAATTTCGGAACTCTTCGACCTGGACTGTGACCTGGATGACTGAGAATCTTCATAGACAATTTTCCTTATTCGCCTTTAAAACCAAAATACTCAGGTTTCATCTATCCATCTGTCCATCCATCTGTATATTTCAAACGTTTAGTCTTTAGTGAACTTTACTAATTTCTTAAAAGGATTACATCCAAACTTAAGTCATTGTTGATAAAAAAAAAAAAAGTGTCTATGTGACCATAGAGCTTGAATGGTGTTCTTACTCCATTTCACTCTTTGATCAGTCTTTCTGTTTATAAAGCTTTTTGGTGTGAAATGTACATTTCTGAACCCTTAGTACAATTAGAGACTGTCGTAGGCCAACCTTGTTAGAGCGGCATTGACTATAAATAATTCATCTTTTTCAATTGTATTTAATACGTATTTGTTAGCCTGTTTTAGCTGTTGGCATGATGTAAAATGGCATTTGACCACATTCCTTTGAGTTTGTGATTTTCATGGTTTCATCATAACCAGGTCATGCTGGTTAAATGCGATGGAAAGGACGTCTCCCTACAAACAGAGAAATGCTGGTTTTACACGTTAAATTTAATGACAAATAATAAAAAGCAGTGTTTGTTTTTTGTTTTTTTTTAGTTGTCCAGCTGGTTATTAGGTGTTTCGTTTAAACACAATCAGAATAAATTACGGAGAGAGGGTTAATATAGTGTTGGTAATAAATTTATACTTATTCATACAGGTCAGATAAGGTCCCAGAATTGCATTCAAAATTGCATCTGCCCATAGTTACACACCCACAAAGCACATGAAGCACACACAAAAAGTACAAGTTGTCATGTTTTCCAATATACATATATTTTCATGATGTTCATCCATATAATTAGACATGATAGATTTACACTACAGTTACTTTATGTACTTTAATTTCCCACTCGATCATCTCTCCTTTACGTTGAGTCAACCTTACTTCATTTATAATCCCATACCACGTGACAAAACAAGAAAACTATCAAACAAATAAATAAGAGCTAAAGGAAGAAAGAAAGAAAAAAAAAAGTATTTAAATCAAACTGAGCACATTGCCTGCTATCCCCCGGTCCTGTCCCTCCGTCAAGGTCCGGTGGACAGGGGCAATGTGGACCTTCCTATCCAAAATAAATCAAAACTTTCTCTCGCAAATGAACAGATTTCAACTAAAATATATCTCATCGATACAAACATTCTTGGAATTCTGAACAATTGAAGGTAAAAACACTCCCCTCCCTTTTCTCTACTGTTACCCATTAGTGCTTACACACAAACAATTCAGTGACATCTTATTACTAGATAGATGCAAAAACAAGGGAAAAAAAACCCACAATTAATTTCAAAATTAAAGATGTGAACATTTAGGATTGAATGTAAGTCTACGGCCGTGAAGTGAAGGTTCGGCGGCTCACGAGGTTCCCTCCTCATGCTACGTTCGTTTCATTTGGGGAAGATACTAAACATTGGGTAAATCTCACCCGAGGGTCGGTAACCTCACTGCCAAATGACCTAAACACAGCATTGCTGATGAGACCGCTGAACAATTCTCAAGGTTTTCGTAAGACAATATTTTCTGATGATGTTAACGTCCCCGAAAATAAAATATCAATGGGTTAAAAACAAAGTGCCACGACGTTAGGCTATATGCACACTCCATATCAGACGTACGGTAAAGCAAACAGGAAAAAAAAAGAGCACTCACTTCATTTTCACCATTCTGACCAAATCCGGTTGAGTACTCACGGGACAACAAATGGTTTCATGGTTAACACAGAGGTCCTACCCCAATCAGTAGAGTTGCATCAACTTAGTCCAATACAGGATGGCTTTAAATGACCACTTTTGGAATCTAGTGATTTTCCTATTGCCAAAAAAAACAAAAAACAAAAAACCAATACATTTTTTATCCTCGTCTATAATATGGTAGATTGCTAATACATTATACCTGAGGATATAGGAACCCCTAACCCCCAAAACACCCCTGAATTACAACACTAAACAGAGCGGGTTTTTTTTTTTTTTTACTTAGAATTTTTTTTAACTATTATTTTGTCAGTACATGTCTATTGAAGCTATACGCTTAGGTTTATTTATCTTTTAACTTTAAACTTGGCAGAACTATGGAGACAAGTGGAAAGAGATCTTGTGCTATTAGTAGTTCTAAGATAATGTGTAGAGAACTGTATTTAGACCTAAATACTATAGGGGAGACTGTGTGTTTGAAATTTGAAGCGTGCGGTCATTAAGCTTTTAACTTGTGTAACAGGATACTGACGATTCAATGAGACACACTACAAACAGCGTGTAAAAAAAACAAAAAAAACAAAAAAAATTGGACTGGTACACTTAAGTGTTTTATATCAGAAGATCCTAGGATGACCTTCTTACACTTGTTTGTGATGGCAGTTGGCAGCATAAGCATAGATATCTAGTCCTTGCTAATCTTCTGCAGCTTGCGACTTGTTGGGGCGGCAAGAAGAGAATGTGTCTGACAGAGAAGGTCAGTCTGAACTGGCTGTAAAATCGCTAACCTCCCGGGCTTCACTCTTGAGATTTAAGCAGCCTAATCTGTCAGGATAAACGGGGGATATTCCCAAGGCGGAGCTATTCTAATACAAACACACACTCACTGTAGGAAACTCTATCTGCAGTTGAGTACAACGGGTAAAGAGGGGGAAACTTAAAGTCAAGATCAGGGTACCAAAAGGTTCACATGCCTAGATAGAGCCTGTTACTTCAATGTGTCTCGAGCCTGTTGGCATACTGGCAGTTGGAGACGCCTACATTTACACTCGATTTGCATTTTAATCTGGGAAAAAAAAAAATTTGATATTTTGCATTTATTTCAAAACAAAACAAACCCTGTTAATCACATATTTGTGAGGTTAAAGTAAAATCTATCCAATTCCAAGGACGCCTCGCAGATGAGCTTCCTTTTCTTCCTCTAAATTTTGACAGACTGCTAAGAACAGAGTGCACTGAACACTGTCGTTCCACCCTCTTAGTCATCAACCACACGGCTGAAAGCGAGTAGAATCCATCAAGTTTCAAAGTTTAAAACTAAACCAGCCGGGGGACCAATCAAAGACACAACCGCAATAACTATAGAATCCTGTCTCTTGATTTTGGCAGTGTATAACATATTGAGCTAAATTACAAAAACATTAGACAGAGGTCAAGAGGAGCTTAGTGTGGCTTGATTTTATGCTACCTCTTCACTAACCTGTTTTACAAAAAATATTATAATAAAAAATAGAATCTATTATATCAAATATAAAAAGAAAAAAGCCCCAACTACAGTATAGGGAGAAACACTAAGACAGAATGGCTGCAGTAGCAAAAAAAAAAAAAAAAAAAACTTCTTTTAGAAATGCTACTCAATCTTTTGTTTCCCTAAGTAGTGACACTACAGCTCATACAGTGTGTTCAGTGTTTTCTTTAAGATAGGCTGAAGCATTTTTTTTTTATATATATAATGTGCTTTTTTTTTTTTTTAAGCGGAGAGATTTGTCTGAGGAAGAATCTTGCCTGGTAGAATGTCCCCTCTCTGGTATGAACTAGTTATGGTGGAGTGTGGTGTGTTTCAGTGCGCGTACTCTGCAAAAGATACCGGAGACTAAGGCTCTACAATGTCAACACAGCTGATAATATACCCTTAATTTCATGGAAGTTATTAACTGTCTATGCAGATGGAACCCCTGGCTTTAGAACTGTTCCCTAAGCACATATCCACACTTCGACCTGACATCTCCACTGCATACTGCAGATGAGAAGTGTAGGACCGACTTTAAAGAATTATTAATTAGTAAAATTACGGACAGCCTATCAGTCTAATTCTGTCTGCCCATTAGTAACCCTAACAGTGACTAAGCTTTGACTCCTGGATCTTTTTTTTTTTCTCCATCTAGACCAACATTTTTCTAACACAATTTTCATCGCATGTACACTGTCCTAAAGATACTTACACTTACATGTGCTACAGTAAGAACATTTGCACTAGACTGCAATGAAGGAATGTTTTCGAAATAAGACACTATGTAATTTTCTAAATTAAGAATAAAACATCTACAGACATTGGTCCATCGGAGCTCTGGCAGTTCAAAATTATTAGAAGAAACTATTATTTTGGGGGTGGGGAGAGGGCGCATGCTGGGAGACAGAACAGCTGCATCTGTGGTGTTCAAGAGGCTTGAAATCAGAGGTAATACAGATGTTTCCAAACAAAAGGAGGATCCAGTCAAACGTTCTGAGGGTGAGGAGAACAAGACATGCATTATTTTCTACGTTTGATCCATATTAATGAGCACTTACACTCAGAAAAGCCACAAAATATGACGACCCTTTTAGACTTTGAAAGCATCAAGCTGTAGAATCCCTAGGCCACGAGGCAGTAACTGTAAGGAATGTTGCTGGCAGCTTTGTTTGTTTTGAAATAAATCCAATCTCTGTAACGTTGTGCCTTTCCAATAACACGTTGTAGTCCTCTGGTTCTTGTCTGAACTTTCTCAGTGTCACAAGTAACACAGGTAAAACATGAACTTGTACCACTGTTAGTTAAATGGAGAACTACGTTGTGCCAAAAAAAAAAACAAAAAAAAACAAACAAAACCCAACAACAAACACCAAAACAGAGGAGTTAAGCCAGAAACAGACTGACAAGAACATGCTCGATGCACACTGTGATTAGTAGGCAGTAGTTAACGCTGAAGCATATGTAAATTAATACAAAAAATAAAAAATACAAAATGCACACACACATATATACGCACACACCTACAAAACACTATATATATATATATATATCAGAATAAAACTCTACAGGTCACACACACACACACACACACACCTGTATATATATATATACATATATATATACGGTATATGTATATATATACGTCATGTAACAATAATTGCCAATAGTTGTTTCCTTTTCTGTTGCATCGTCACCAGTGTTTGGTTCTCAGTAGGCAGGTTAGAAAAGCCAAGAGGACCCAGAAAGGAGACAGGGCCACACACATACACACACACACACACACACAAAGGACATATATTAACAGAGGTCATGGGGGAAGCCACGAAGCTCTGAAGGTATCAGGGGTGTTATATCAGGGGCTAATTTGAGGAGGTACATATATAGTAAATTAATTTTCTGCTTTTAATTTTGTCATCAATTTGAGTTTTTTTTTTTTTTGGTAGCAAGTAAATAGGGATCAGACTGGGGTAGGACAGACTCTTCTTAGGTGCTGAAGTACACTGTAGAAAAAGAAATACAAAAAAACCACAGTCAATTACTGTGAATAATGGAAGCACCATCTCCACAAATGAGTGCAATTTTGCATTTTACATTTATACAGACCACTCCAAATATACTCAAAGCAAACACTTTGCATAGCCAGAAAATAGTGAGTCATTTTTTCTTTTTATCTTACCAATAATGACGATGAGGACAATCACGCATATCACACCCAGGATAATCATCATCTGTAGTAGGTAGATATTTGAAATAAAATTACTGACGCAACATTTATACTGCCTAGGTGAAATTAAACTCTTCCTTTTGAAATAACGTTACAAAGGAAAGTGTCTCCATATCCTTACCTTGGCATTCTTCCACCAGTATTTATTCTTCAGCTTGGCAGCACTGGTCTCAAACTGAGATGCTCCAGCCTGCAAGGCATCGGCCCTGTCATCCAGTTCTGACAGCTTCTGATCACGCTCCAGAACCTTGTCCACATTTACACGCATGATGTCCACCACCTAGAGAACAATGCCAAAGAAACGAGTAAATTCCTTCATCAAGAAAATTAACCATCTCACCACTCATATACATATGACTATAAGTGCCCAGAAATAAACGAAGTCACCGAATAAACCAACTATGAGGACTTACCTCATCGACTTGTGCCTGTGTCTGCTGCAGACGGCGATTGCTGGTGAGGTTAGGAGGCTGATTCCCTCCCTCTGGTGCAGGAGCTCCACCAGCAGCTGGGGCAGACCTTCGTGAGGATAAGAAAGAAAGAAAACAAACAGTCAGGTTTCCCGATTAAAACATAGTTAAAATTAATTTATATCCATCGGAGGAGTCTAGGATTTGTAGTCTTGGCTGCTGCAGGTGGAAGAATTTATAGCAACAGAGCAGATGATGTGACATACTAGTTTTACGTCCATCAGAGGAGTCTAGGATTTGTAGTCTTGGCTGTATTTTTAAATACATTGGTTTAAAAACTGTATACTGAAAATAGTGTCTTTGTATTTTTGGAATTGTGGTGGAATATGTATGTTATACATTTTGTTTTGGATTTTCAAGTTATCCTGTCCATCGATCAATACATTGTCCAGCCATTGTCATATGTACCAAAACTCATTCTGCTGACTATCAATGGCCTATTAATAAACAAAAAGATGATTGAAAGCAAGATATCGGTGCCAACGGGGCCATTTATTGTCTTCTTAATAAAATGTAAAAGTCTAATTTCTTTCTTTTGCATTTATTTTTTTAAAGAAATTATGTTTTTTGTTTAAATTGCAGTTCAAAAAATATTTAGAGTGACTTGCCTTTTTGTGAAATACTGTATATAATAAAATAACCATCAAGGCACACAAACAGCAAAA